CCTGGACAGGAGGACGCGTTGCTGGACAGCGGCGCCTCTCACCTGCTGCGGGAGCTCAGATCTAGAGCCGCCCCAGCCGAACACCACCTTGAACCCGGCGGTGGGGCCCGTGCCCTGCCAGAGCGGGGCCAGGCCAGATGGCGCCCCCGAAGTGGCGGCCACGTTGCAAGCCCGCTGCCGAGGACGAGGCGGGCGAGCGCGCGCGCAGCAAGAGTGCGCAAGACCTGCTTCCGCTCGGCGAATTTGTCGCCCGCGGTTCCGCATTCTCGCGAAGCGAAGGCAGAAGCCCGCGCCTGGCGGCTCCGACCGGCGAGACCTTCCACTCGATGGCGCACAAATCTTCGCCTTACATTCCGCCAACGGCCACGGAGAGGATCAACAATATTCTTGGTGACGCTGCCGCAGCCTGCCGGCACATGGAGGACGTGGACGAGGGGCACAAGGGCGAGCACGTGCCGAGGGCCAGTTCGGAGGAGGAGCCAGCGGGCAATTGGCTGCAGGGCCTGGAGGCCGACGCTGCCGCGGCCACCGCGGCCGAGCCCAAGCGGCGCCTCTGGCCTCTGGTTCGCAAAGCTCCGGCGCGGCAAATCTGCGGAGGAGACGCTCCTGTTCGCGCAGCAGGTAGTGGCTCAGATCAAGGCCACGGGATTCAACGTGAACGCTGCAACGCGGCGGTGAGTTCACCGACGAAAAGGTCGGCGCCTGGACGGCCGCCGCCGGCACCCACCACGCCCGCGCGGAGGGCTACGACCCGACGGCCAACGGCGTCGCCGAGGACGCTGCCGGCGGCATCAAACGCGGCGCGCGCGCGCCGCTGCTGCGGGCCAGCCTGCAGCCCAGGCGGCGGGGGGGCAGCAAACGCCCAACGCCAGCACCAGCTGAATCTTCCTGGGTCTGTGGCGCCGTTCGGCCCCAGAGAGGTCGCCACTGCGCGGCCCAAGCCAGGCGACGACTCTGCGCCGAGAGCCACCCTAGCAACTGCTTGCGGCCAGACAGAGAACGTTCTCAAGGCCGCGCACATCCACAGGAATGGCCGGCTGGAGACAACTGGGAACATCCAGGCTGCGAGCCCAACGCCTCGAACGCTCGAGTGGGCGACCCCGGAGCCGCCTCAGGAAGAGCGGCCGATCGCCACGAAGTCCGAGGAGGAGAAGGCGACGTGGGACGCCAGTGCCCCTCCACCAGCGCCAGCAGTGCCGCCGCGGCAGCCAGCGCGAGCAGCGTGGGGCTGCCCAGCGTGCCGTGGCGCTCACATTGCACATTCCCGCGTCTGGGGCGAACGTGCGAAGGCCCCCGTTCCCCTCGATCCTCCGCGGCTGCTGCCAGCACCTCCTGAGGAGGAGATCGTCCAACCAGTCGCCGTGGAGCCAGACTTCGTGGCAGACGTCGTCGCTGCTCCGGCTGTCGCGGAGGAGACCTTCCAGGACGTGCACCCGCAGCTGCTGGAGGAGATTCAGAAGGGCGGACACCTGGCCATCCTAACTAAGGACGTGGAGGCGTCAGCTGGCCTGGAGCGCTTCGAGTGGATGGAGGCGGTTCAGTCCAAGCTTTCTTCGCTGCAGCAGAACAGCGCCTACCATCCTGTTTCCCACCAGGAGCGGCAGGACATCAAGTCTGGCGCCGCGAAGATCACCCCATCGAGGTTGCTGGCCACCCTCAAGGCCCCGGAGAAGGGCAAGCGGAGGAAAAGGCCAGGGTCGCGGGACGCCGCGACCACCTGTCCAAGGCGGAGGACTTGGGCCAGATGTTGGACACCCAACACGTGGACGCCGCGTCGCCCAGGATTCCGTTGCGGCGGGCTGCTGGGCACGACCACTCCCTAGGCGACATCGCTATGAAGACGGCGTTCCTCACCGCAGCGCTGACATGAAATCGTTGTCTGGCCGCCGAGAATCCTGTCGAGGATGGGCCTCGTAGATCCGGAGGAGCTGCGGGTCCTTGGCCGGGCGCTTTACGGCCTGCGCGCGAGCCCGCGGCAGCGGAAGGACGAAAGGGACAGCGCATTGCGCAAAATGACGTGGGCCGTAAAAGGCGCGGCCAGGCGCTTTGTCCAGTCTTCCCTCGACCTGGCTACGCGGTGCATTTTCGACCCAGAGGCGACCGCCAACGGCTAAACCATTGAGGGTATCGACGCCACGGACCCCAGCACCAACATCTTCGGTCTCATTGGCACCTACGTGGACGACATCATGGGAGCATCCGGCGGAGCGGAGCTCGAGGCGTTCTTCTTCTCGATCCAGCTGCTCTGGAAGGCCGCGGGCCCGACCTACCTGAAGCCATTCAGCGGCGAGGAGATGAAGTTCATCGGGATGCAAGCCACGGCCACCTCCTCCGGGCACTTTCTCCACAAGCGCGCCTTTGCTCAGGATCTCCTAAAGCAGCGAGGCATGAACAGCTGCAGGTGCGCAGACACCCACGGCGACAAGGCGGAGACGGGGCGCGCCAAAAACTCGAAGAACGCAGCTGGATTCGACTATTGGCCAATGGACAGTAGCGGTTCCGCACCTCTTGCGGCCAGTAGGTCGAAAAACGACACCTGCCCAGAGGCAGCCCCTGACCCAGCGACAGCGGTCAAAGCGCAGCGGCTCGCCGGCAGCCTGCAGTGGCTGACATCACGCAGCCGCCCAGCCATTGCCCACGCGACAAGCCGCATCGTTTCTGTAGCCACCACGATTCCAGAGTGGGCCCTCCAGATAGGCATGCGGCTGCTGAGGCACGCGCGTCAAACGGTCGACTGCGGCATTCTGCACACGCCGTTCAACAACAAGGCAAAAGAAAACGACCTGAAGACCTACAGCGACGCCTCCTGGGGCCCAGACGGCGGCGATACGGGCCACCTGGGCGCGATCGTCTTCTGGGCTGGATGCGCCGCGGCGTGGCGCAGCTGCCGGGCCGCTCCGGCGGCGACGTCATCTTGCGAGTGCGCGCTTCTAGCGGCCAGCCTTGGATTCATCTTGGGCTCCGGCGCGCAGTGCCTGCTATCGCAATTCCGGACGGCCGCACTACCTGGAGGACGCGGCACTTGGCTATGAGAGCGAATGCCCTGCGAGACCACGTGCGTCTGGGGTTCGCTGTCGTGAAATACGTCCAGACCGGCGAGCAGCTCGCAGACTGCCTCACGAAGCACGCGCTGGCAGACGCATACCACCGGCTGATGCGCCGCTGAGGAGGAGTGTGTCTGCCAGACCGTTGAAGACCAGACGCTGGAAGCACGATATATGCTGGTGCAAACGGATGGCAGTGCGAACGGAAATGCCAGTGCGAAGTGCAAGCTGGCGCGCAGAGAGCAAGTTGGTGCGCAGAGAGCCTGACGCAACAGGCATTCGCTACACGGACGGAGGGCATCATAATCGCATCTGAGGCGGCTGACGCCTGATGAGGCCTAATGCTGAAGATGCACTTTTCTCCTCCATCCTTGCCGAGCCCACGTGCATTATACAGACATCGCCGCAAGCTGTGGGACCCCCCGGCCGTCTGAGACATAATTTATCCCACAAAGTGGGATAACGCATCCAGAGCGTACATTGTGCAAGGTCTGCAGCATGGCACGCCGCAGTGGTGAACGGTCGTCGCGTTTCCCAACAGCTACACGGAACGCCGCATCGATAGCGGATGGGCCGGCAGCTGTCAGTCTTACCCCCGTATGTAACCGTGTAATAATATGTCTTCGGCAGCAGGCTCAGCACGGACAGTGTGGATCCGCATCCTAGGTCCTACTAGGCACAAGAATCGGCTCTAGCATCCCGTGCTGGCAAAAAAAATACAAAAAACATCGTCAAGGTCTCCCGCGCTCCGCCGCCATGGAGCGCCCGGCTGGGCGGCCGGCCCGGCACGGCCCAGAAGCGCACGCAGGGGGGCCCGGGGGAAGGGGCGCCAGGGGCGAGCCGGCTTGATTGGGCCCCTCCTGGGCTCCTCTTGGCGCTCTCTTGGGCCGGGGGGGCCTGGCGGGGTGGTCCGTTACGGACTCGGGTGTCCCGGATCCGCGGAGGCGGCTTGGGCCACCGGGAGGGGGGGGAGAGGCACCGGGGGGGCATCGGGGGGACCTGAAGGGAGCGCTGGGCCCCGATATGATTGCACGGTCCGGTTCCCGATTCCATGCGGCGGGCTCGCGATATCCGGTTATTTCGATTCGGTTCGGGAGCTCGCGATCCGGTTCCCAGTTCGCTTCGCTGGCAGTTCGCGGCGATTCGGTTCCACGCGATGCGACTACGCTTCCAGACCCCCGACGTCGTGATTGTGAAGTCCTGACGGCGGGTGCCGCCGACCCTGGAAGACATCGACGACGACCAGGAGGGGGAGGAGGAGGGAGGGAGGAGGAGGAGGAGGAGGCAGTGATAAGGAGGAGGAGGAGGAGGAGGAGGAGGAGGAGGAGGTGGCGGAGGAGGAGGAGGACCCCCCCTTCCTGGGACCCCCCCCCGGGAGGAGGACCAGCGTGGGAGAGGGAAGGGGAGGGGGAGGAAGACCCCCAGGGACGGATACGTATCTGCCCCCCCCACTTCCCCTGGGACTCCCCCCACACCTGGGGAGGAGGACCAGAGGAGGACCAGCGGAGGACCGGCGTGGGAGAGCAGGACCCCCAGAGGCGATGCGAATCTGACCCCTCCCCCCGCCCGGGACCTCCCCCCGCCGGGGAAGGGGCAAAGGGAAGTGGCTTTCCTTTGACGTGATTACGACGTGGGTCGATTTCCCTCATCAATCCCTGGACCCCTCCCCCCGACGACGGGAGAGTGCCCTCTCCCGCCCGACGGGGGAGGAACGTCCCGTCGACGGGACCAGACAGACCCCCCACACACGCAGACAGGGTCGGCGGATTTTTTCACAACGTCGACCCCCCGAGGTCTGGACCCTTGACCTGGGACCGGCTTTTCGTCCTGACTCGTCTTCTGACGGTCCCGAGGCCCAGTAAGGGGCCCCCAGAGGCCGAAAATTGGGAAAAACTTCCCGTCGCGATTTTTGTCAACGCCAGGGGGGTCTGGGCTTGCGGTTCCCCGATGATGCAGGGCTGCGCTGCCGAGGGCGCCGCGTGCTGGGCGGGCGCCGTCTCCCGGGTGCTGCGCCACAGGGTGCGCGGGCCAGCGCCGAGGCCCCGAGCGCCCGCGGCCGGCCCCCCGCCGTCGCGCGGCCGCTCGTGCAGCGTCGCCTGAGGTTCTGCCACGCAGGGAGCCCCCAGGCGAGGTGATCGCCGTGCCTTGGCGAGGGCCTGGTCGCGGACCGAGCGACCACGGCAGCGGGGTTATATGAGCTACTGTGATGGTCAGCAGCATACCTGATCTGCGGGTGCCTGGTCGCGAGCAAAGTGGCTGCGGCAATTGGCGACACCAGCAGTTTCTCTCAGGGTCAGCAGCCGATCTTACAAGAGAGTGCGCAATCCATTGGGATTATGGATTTCCTGGGGGAGTATACACACTTTTTATATTGATGCATATATATATATATATATATCATGTACGAGCGATATATATATATATATATATATATATATATATATGTATGTGTGTGTATGTGTGCATGCATGCATGCATGCATGCATGCATGCATGCATGCATGTATGTATGTATGTATGTGTGTATGTATGTACGTATGTATGGTATGGTATGGTATGGTGTGGTGTGGTATGGTATGGTATGGTATGGTATGGTATGTATGTATGTATGTGTGGATGTATGTATGTATGTATGTATGTATGTATGTATGTATGTATTCATGCATGTATGTATGTATGTATGGATGCATGTATGTATGTATGTATGTATGTCTGTCTGTCTGTATGTATGTATGTATGTATGTTTGCGTTTGCACGTTGAGGTCGAGAGTGGCTTATCCGCTTTGTCGCTACAGAAAGACGCTCAGAACTGTCTGTGCTTGCATCGAAGGTCGAGAGAGGCTTATCCCATTGTCGCTACAGTTTCTCTCCGTACCCCCTGTTTTTGTGCTCAGAGGGCCCCCTCGGATGGGCCAGATCGTGCCTGCGGAGCAGGCCGAGCGCGCCCTGTACTCCGTGTGGGCCATCCTCGCCGTGGAGGCGGGCCAGCTGGCGCGGAGACTTCTGTCAGCGTGGTGATCCCCAGAGCCCGCGGCGACTGCGGAGGGCCGCGAGCAGGAGGCGTGTCCTGAGATCGTCTGCGGGGCCTGCCCGGACGTGAGCTGCCTGCCGTGTCCAGCGGTGCCGCCGTGCGCGGCGGAGCCTGACCCGTGGCAGTTTGCCGGAGCGGGTGCGTGCGCCGTCCTCGCGGTCCAGCAGTTCTGGCGCTTCGTGAGGAGCCCGTGCGGCCAGCCCCGACGTGTCCATGGCGCTGCTCCGGCGCGACGCGGGGGCGGCGTGGTGGCGCGAACTGGTCCCAGGGGCCCTCATCGTGACGACGTTCGAAGGCGACACTGTGGCTCATGAGAGGCTGTTGCTGTGGCCCGTGGACGATGGTGACGTCTACGTAGAGCCAGTGACGAATGATTTGGACGGGGGGGTGCTGGACACGAGTCCGCTGGACGATGTTGGGACGGTGCCAGACGGGTTCCCGCTGAAGGTCTATCGCTTCCGCGACTACCCCAACGCCGACGCCCTGAAGGAGCTGATACGAGACGGTCGAGCGGTGGTTTGTGCCGACCTCGGCCGAGAGGCGCCCGAGGTGTCGATGGTGCTGACCCCCACCTGCGAGCGAGTGCTGTTGGAGGTTTTCGCGCCGGAGCTCTTGGTGACACGCCGGATGCCTGGGAAGGTGTCCCCCAAGGCGGCCGCGGCAGCCTCGGCGCGACGCGCCGCTGGGCCCTCAGTTGGGCCGGCGGCCGGCTGGGCCCCGCTGCCGGCGCCGCCTGCGGAGCCCCCTCCCGATCAGCTTCGAGAGGTGGAGACCGCAGCAGTGGGTGAGGACTACGTCTGGGTGCTGACGGAGCCTACCGATCGGCACGCCATCGGAACAGAGATCGAGGCCGGGGCGAAAGTGCTCCTAGCGCCAGGTGGTTTTGACGGGCTGGTGAAGTTAGATGACCACTGGCGGCGCGTCGAGCGCATGGCACCCCAGGCGTTCCCCGGCTTTGCGAAGCACCGCTGCGACGAGCTGAAGGACGGCCTCGGTATCATCGGGGGGGGGGGGGCCGGGCGCGGACGAGTCCGACCTCCGCGACAGGCTCGGGGGGGCTCTCCCTGAGGCCGTCGGCGGAACGGCTACTCCCCCAGCGCCCCCCGCGGCCGAAGGGGCTGTCGAGACAGGCGACCTGAGGGCCCTGGCGATCGATTGCGACGGTCAGGGCGAACGCCACAAGCCATGGAAGCAAGTGGTGCAGGAGAGCAGCAGCGAGACCTACGAGACGCAGCACATGGAGGGCCTTCCGGTCGCGTTGCCGATGGGGAAGCGGACGCTACAGACAGGAGGAGACCCCCGCCTCTGGCTGCGACAGTGGCTGCGCGAGAAGGGGATCGCCTCGACAGACAGGGTTGCGCATGAACTTCGCACCCCTGTGGAGTCCCTCTGGCTCGCCGGCGCGGTAGACCAGGTCAACATCGGCGGGCTGCTCTGTATCGAGGCGATATGTCGGCGCATGGCAGGCACCGTAGCGGCTTACGTCAACCCAGCCAAGCCGGCCTGGGACATGACCCGCTACTACACTGGCCAGATGTCCGCAGAGGACGCGGTACCGACGTCGGCCCCGAGATGCGCAGCTTCGCGCTCCGACGGGCCAAGGAGGGCCGTGAGACCGGCGCCGGCGGACTGCGGGGATCCCCAGTCGAGTTTGACGCCGGTGGCCCGGCCGTCGGCGGCGCTGATGGCGGCGGCGAAGGTCGCGGCGGAGGGGGCCGCGCCGGGGCGGCGCGGGCGCGGCGACAAAGGCCGCGGAGCCGGCGCCCCCTCTCGTCTCAGGATGAGCAGGGCGCTGGCCGAGGGTAGCCCCGACCTCGGCCGAGCTCTAGGGGCCGCCTCAGGTCGCGTTGCGGCCAGTCGAGGGCCACGGGGTCTTTTCCCCGCGCCGCTGCTGGACGCGCCGCCTTCCTTGGCGGGTGCCCCAGCAGGTGCCGCGCGTGCCAGACGCAGGGAACAGCTGGAGATCAACGTGGCGAATGAGGCGATCAATGCATTTAATGGGCTGGCAGGGCATCGAGCGGTCGAGAGGCCCATCCCCAGCGGCTACTACACGAGCGAGCTCGAGGACTGGCATCGGGCCGGCGCCCGGACTCAGCTCCCACAGCGACGGCAGCCCTCAAGCGGATGCTGCGCGGCCATTCACCGCATGAGGCGGGAGTGACCACCACTCCTGTCGCGCCCGTCAAGCTCGACCGCATTTCGTTGCCAAAGTTCGTTCGGAGCTGCCCCTGCGCAGATGAGGCGGCGCCGCAGGAGGTCGCTAAGCACTTGATGGATTATCAGGAGCGCATGCTGAGGCAGGGGGACTTCCTGCCTAAGATCGAGCCTTACTTTGACCCCAAATTAAGATTTCATCAGAAGGTATACCAGCGTCTAGTTCGGAAGCTGTTTGACATCGGCATGGTGGATTGGACCATGACGCCGAAGTGTCAGATAGGTTTGTTCTGCGTCCTCAAGAGCGACGGCAAGTCGCCCGGACTGATCGTCGACGCTCGTCGCACGAATGAGGTGTTTGACGACCTGCCTGGAGTGGGTTTGCCGACGGCCGAGGGTCGTGGCGAGGTGCTGCTGACAGCCGGAATGGCGCCGCAGAGCTCAGAGGCCGTCGAGTACCTTGGCGCGCTCAGGCTCGTGGCGGGCACGTCGGACGTGTCCAACTGCTTCCACTGCCTGAAGTTGAGGCTCGAGATGTCGGCGCACTTCGGGGCGCCTGCGGCCCCAGCGCACGCCTCCGGGCTCGAGGGGTCCGCGGTGGGCGGCCGTCACTTGGGCAAGACCTCGCCAGTTTATCCCGCGTGGGCTGTGCTGCCGACGGGTTTCACTTGGAGTCTCTGGATTGCGCGGCGCATAAATGAGCTTCAGACTGCACGAGGTACCTCTATCCCGCTGGGCGCCCCGCTCCAAGGGCGCGCCTCTGAGGGTGCTGCCTCCAGACATGGCCAAAAGCCATGCGCAGCACTATGTGTATGTTGACAACATCGGGATCCTGCACACCAAGCGCTTCGAGGTTGGCGAGGCCATCTCGGACCTGCAGCGTCACTTCGCCGGTCTAGGGCTGGAGCTGCACGAGTCCTCGGCGCCGATGAGGCGTCCAAGACCCTGGGCGTGGAGCTGATGGGCGACGGCCTACGGTCGCGGGTGACTTCACAGAGGTGGCGGCTGATCCGTCGCGCCATCGAGGCCCTGCTCCGACGCCCCAAGTGTTCGGGCTGGGCACTGGAGGTGGTGGTCGGTCATTGTACCTTCGCCGGGCTGGCCAACCGAGGATGCTTCTCGGCGCGGCATACAGCGCACGCCCTCATGCACAAGTATCGCGACGGCGCCGGCTACCTCTGGGACAAGTGCCAGCAGGAGCTCCGCGCGTTCAAGGGGCTCATGCCGTTCCTGGAGAGTGACTGGACGCGGCCGTGGAACCCCATGGCCCTGGAGACTGATAGCTCCGTCGAGGGGATGGGCATCGCCAACCAATGCCATGCGGGGCCCAGAGGACGTCGCCGCCGGGTGCTGGAGCGCTCGCGCTTCCGACGCTCTGGCGGCTGCGGTGCCCGCGAGTCTGCCCTAGAGGCCGCCGGCTTCTGGCGCGACGCCTCGGGCAAGTGGCAAGTGACCGACGCGGCCGCAGACCCGAGAGACGACGGTGATTGGCGTTGGACTCTAGTTTTGCCGAGGTGCCCGCCAGGCTTCTGTCGCCCAGCCTCTGGCGCTCTTGCTACGCTCGTAAATGGCTGCTTGGCGAAAACATTGTTGTGAAAGAAGCACTGGCGCTCCTCGTTGCCATCAGGCGTCTGGCTGTCTTCCAGGGAGCTCACGGTCTGAGGCGGTTGATCCCAGGTGATACTATGTCTGTCGTCCTTGCGGCCAGTCGAAGCAGGTGCCGCGATTTTAGATTGCTCGTGATTATCAGACGTGTCCAGGCCTACTGTCTCTCTAGGAACATACAGCTCCTAGTCCGCTGGATCCTTTTGGAATTTAATGTTTCTGACCTGGGGTCCCGAATTATCAGCAGCCCCAACTCAGACAACCTTTGAGTAGACGAGCTAGATGCTAGGTATCACTACATTTTGAGGGCGGAGATGAAAGACAATGAGAAGCCCTCCCCCTTTTACTTTCCCGACAGTAAAGTTTCAACCGGGCCTTGCTCCTGCCCAGCCTGCCCCCCTCGGCCTTTCCCCGCCCCCGCCAATGGCTGCCCCTCCGTTGCCGTCTTGGCTCGAGCCACTCGACCAGAGGATGACCAGCCAGGGAGCCCGCTCGGGCGGCTTTCAGCCCGGCCCCAGGCGGGAGGCACGCCTG